CGGCCGCCGCCGGCCCTGTCGCAGGAGGGGTGGGGGCCAGGCCTCTGCCCAAGGTGCTTGGTGGGGGTTTGAGCATCTCGGGGGACCTTTAGCGAGCGGCTGTATTTTCCCCCAAAGTCTAAGAAAAAAGGTGGAAGCGCATCCCTAAAGCGAGAGAGATCGCAGGCGTGTCTGGAGCCAGGTCACCCCACGGTCCCCAGGGGCCAGCTTTGTGCTGCTGAGCTTCGCTGGGGCGGGACAAGCTGCAGTGACAACAGACAGGGTGCTTTGGGTCCAGTTATGCTTTATTTGGGTCTTGCTGTTCACAGCTGTGATAACCCCCCCCCGCCCCCCCCGCTGACTCTTGGGCTTGGGATGCCTTCGAGGTTCACCGAGTCCGTTGGAGGGACCCCTTCACCTCTCCCTCCCCCCTGGCACCGTGGGGGATTGTCCCCTCTGTCCCCGGGGAGCCTGGGCTGAATGGGGTTTTATCACTTGTGAAAAGTAACAAGTCACCGAAGTGGGAAGCTGCAGCTAAGGGGAACAAAGGGCAGCTCTGCCCCCACGTCCCTCATTTACAATTCCAATGGGCCATGAAAGCGCCCGACCAGGATGAACTTTGGAGTCAGGCTGTCCCAGGTCCCCAGCATCCTGCTCCTCCTGTTCCCCCGGGGCAGGTGGGCTTGGGTGTTTCGTGCCCGATGACCCTTTATCATGGACACGTGTTGCTCCTGACACAGAAGTGAGGCAGAAGTAAAGCCCTATCCCAATTTCAGGGGACTGGGCGCGTGAATGTGGAGGGAAAGCTCCTTCCCGTGCGATGGTATTGGAAAAGCATTTAAATCGCATAATCCCTTCTGGAGGTCACGGAGTGGCTTTGCAGCGCACGAGCAAACTTTTGTGGGATGGCAGCAGGGAGATCGTCTGGGGGCTGTGGGGAGCCCCGGTGGGGTGAAGAGAGGTGACCAGGGGCTCCCAACTGATGGTGACTTCTTTTTTTCCGTGTCTGTTTTGAGCAGAAGGCGAGGAGATTGACGTAGTGACGGTGGAGAAGAGACAATCGCTCAGCCTGAGGAAGCCGGTCACCATCACGCTGCGCGCCGACCCCTTGGACCCCTGTATGAAACGCTTCCACATCTCCGTCCACCAGCAGCAGCACAACTATGCCGCCCGCTCGCCGCCCCCCTCCGGAGCCACCCCAGCAGGACGAGGACGAGCCACTGAGTGCTGCAGAGCCAGCCCCTGCTGTCACGCTGCCTGAGCCCGGCTTGCCGAAAGCTGGCAGCAGCCCCGGCTCCGACAGCGAGGATGTGGCCAAGAGGAAAAACCACAATTACCTGGAGCGCAAGCGGCGCAATGACCTGCGCTCGCGCTTCCTGGCCCTGCGGGACCAGGTGCCCGGGCTCGCCAGCTGCCCCAAGACGCCCAAAGTGGTGATTCTGAGCAAATCCTCCGAGTACCTGCAGTCACTCATCAGCGCGGAGAGGAGGATGGCGGCTGAGAAGCGGCAGCTGCGGCTGCGGCAGACCCAGCTGCTCAAACGGATTGCTCACCTCAAGGGGCACTAGCACCCAAC